GTAGCTAGCTTGTAGTAAAATCTTGGACACAAATTCATTTTATTTTTATGCTTTGTACAAAGTATATGTATGCGCATGCCAGCACAGTAATTTAATGAAAATGAAGCTGCGATTTGGTGTGCGGAGTGCATTTATGCGGCTGCTAGGAAAGCTGTGAATAAAAAACCTTAAAGTTGATTTTTTATGGAATTAAATATGTATGTATGCACATGCAAACATATGCATGTACCTACATATGTATGTAGAAATCTGTGTGTTTGTACAAACTGTGTGTTGAGCTTTTTATAGCCATGTAGCCTGATAATGAAACTGATTTCGGCTTTACAGCGCTACTTAAAACAATTTAAATGGGGGTGTCGCCAGTGAAGCAACTGTGGTAGAGAAAATTATGCGGCACATGACAAGAACGTTTTACGCGAAAGATCTTCCAACAGCTAATGTCTCTCACGAGTTAATAAAAAACTGCAGATGCTTTTCTGATATGGGCAAGCTACTAATAGAATCCAACCAAAAGCGCGGCGCGGCTATGGTAGCAGCTTGGCCTGGTTCTATTAAAGATCTGAATAGTATAAATTTTGAAATCGGGCACATTCCAGTGCCCCTAAAATACATACCTACATGCATATTTATAATTTTATAAGTTCTTCTCGTACCTAAAAAAAGATAGACATATAGATAAATTTTCGAATACAATTGTATAAAAACGCATTCCTTGATCACCTACCACGTACGTACAAACAAATTAATCATTTTACAATTTTGAGTAGGCACTTACCTGTAAATGCTCCTGGAAGCGTATTGGCAAAACTTGCGTCATTTTCGATTCTGCAACACTTTCAACACACTAAACAAATTTTCTCTGCAACAACGATGCAATCAAGCTTAAGTTGTGGTTGACTGCTTCTCTTGTTGCTTCCGGATCACAGTGCGTGACTCGTTGCAATCGTGATTATTTTTTTAAGGGTTTTCTTTTAAATATACAGATTCTTCAAGTGAATCACGAGCAATGCGTCTTTTATTTCCCTATTTGATTCGTTCGTTCGGCCGCTTTTCATATAATAATTTTTGTCTGCTAGTTTTTAGCACTTATTTACTTTATTTAATTTTCTCTTCTCTTAAGTGAACCTTATGCTGCTGATGTTGCAATGAAAACGAAAAATAAGAAAAAACAATGAAAGTTAGAAAAAAAAAATTAACAGCAAGCTGCGCAACCATTTTTTAGAGCTTCCAAATCTAATGCAGAAGTAAGTGCAATTTTTATAAAGAATTACTATTTCAATATTTAATCAAACCCTCGAGTTCACTTTTCGGTGTTACAAAGCACACCTTAGTTTACAATGCTTGCCCAGCATGCTTTCATTATGAAACACTGAAATTTTGTTCAAAATAATCGTCCTATTAATTTTAACGGCTCTATGTACATATTTTAGTAATAAATTAGGAAAACTACGCGACTGGCCAAAAGTGGGTAGATCGTAAAAACTCTTGCTTCACATAGCGATGTCACCGCCTCCTAAAAGGTCTGCGTAGAAGTCAGCAGAGGCAGCAAATTAATTTTACGAATTTTCTATGCCACGGATTTATTTATGAATATTTTTTTTAACCTAAACGTCACTGCATTATAGCAAAAAGTCAATGCAAAGTTGTAAATTCTGCTAAAGTCAATACTTGAAAAAAACAATGAAGAAATTAGCGGCTGCTGCTACTTTGCACTCGTACTCGGTTGCTGTTCGTCGACGTCGTCGTCGTTTTTTGCCGTTTGACAGCAACACAAAAACAAGCAAAACAAGAAGCGCACCACTGACAGCAAAAATGGCGAATATGGAATGCAGTGTGGTGAATTCAAATTTAGAGCTATAGGGGAAAATGACCTAATCGCTGACTTTTTGCCATGTACCTGTTAGGCCAATTGTATTACCAATTTTAGGCTTTAATTAGCTAATTCAAACATTATTAATGCATATAACTATGAATAAAATATGCACATAAATCTCTTTCTAGTGAAATCACTCTCTCGATTAATGAAAACCTCTTGGAAAAATAAGTTTAATCTATAGCCAGGATGCTCTGTAAAAAGTACCACGTATGCCACATAAACAAAACATGAATATGTAAGCTAAAAAACGGCGAAAAACTATGTAATGCTCTCATAGCCAGTCAACAACCGCCCACCGCGCCAGTAAAGGAAACAACCGTAGGCACCAGAACTAATTATTATACCTCTACACGACAGGCAGAACGAGATGGCAAGTTAGTATGTATATTTAACTACTTCAAATGATAGTCAGATTTTTCATTGTAGAGTTATCTGCATTGTCTCGTTCTCTACTGTGATCCCCTGCCTTTTGCGTCGGCTACCCTTTCTCTAGCCAACATTGAAAAAATTTCCACTTTTCCTTTTTGACCACTTTTCAGTGCACAAATGAAATTATATTTCGCTGCACATTTACACTTATTTTATCTAGAATTACATATGTCACACAATTACCATTTATTATTGTAATGTTCTTTAATTGTTATTTGGCTAAATTCGCATTTAAAACTCACTTAAATTGCACTTAAACGCGTTTAACCATATTGATTTCTCCACCACCGAAAAGCGAAAATGACAAGAAAATTTCTTTTGACTGATGTCAAATTCGCTTGAACGATTTGCCGTGGTGAATTCATAGAAAGTACTGTTCGATTTATCGAATACTTTTAAGAGCGAAATACACTATACAAGCTTGACAAATCAAGCGAAATATTTTGGCTTCAAGCAATTTGTGTTGTGAATGTATAGGGGTGTTTTGTATTTTCTGGTCGCCATCAACGCGAATTTATATAAGGTGGCGTCTAATATCAAATTTAAAAATTTTGTTTGAATTCCCACACATACTAATAAAGATTTTGACAATTTATGCCGCCAAAGCAAAAACAAAATACATGTACTCCTGCTCTCACCTCATATTAACTCGCCTTGGTCGCCATGTTGTCGTATGATCAAACCGCTTGTCAAGGCGAAGCTATAAAAGGTGGTGCTCAAGGCGAATTTATACAAGGTGGTGCTGATGGCGAATTTAGATTTTCGCCGCGGTACTTAATATCAAATTGATGTGTTTCAAGGCGAATTTATACAAGGTGGTGTTGTAAAATCAGCTGATTACTTCGCCTTACATGTATTTTCTTTTTGCTTTTACTGATTTGACAGCACACCCATCAAAAACAAAAACAAAATACATTTAAATTTTGGGCGAATTGAGGTTTGACATAACACCCGCAATACAAAATACATGTGATTGTTGCTGTTGTAATCTAAATTCGCCAGCGGTACCACCTTGTATAAATTCGCTTTGGATGTGTTTGTTGTAATATGAATTCGCCTTGTTTACAACAAACACATCATTTTGACGTTAGGAAGTACCGCGGCGAAAATCTAAATTCGCCATCAACACCACCTTGTATAAATTCGCCTTGGTGGTGTTGCTGGAACAGCTGCTTTGATTTGCCTCGGTACACACCCTACAAGAACAGTGATAGTCCTTTGATTGAGCATGTGCTAATCACTGGTCATGGAGATCGCAATCAAGTACTTCTGTCAGCTTTTGAAGAGCAATATGCAAAACGTGATGTAAACATTTGTGTACATGTGATCTTCCGTCTTCCTCCAACTTATGGCCTTATTTAGTGGTCTCTTTTTAACCAACGCAAAATTTGCAAATGTGTTAGTAAGATAAATGAGAATGGGTTAGTTTCCATCACACAATTCTTGTAGGGCAGATATCATAATTTTATGAATGAGTGAGAAAGTGGGAGGGTTGAAATTGCTTTCCCTCTTCTTCATTAAGTGGAGAATGGCTGAAGTGCACAATATGTATCGAAATCAATAACCTTATATGAATTCGCCTTGCCTCTTGCGTAAAATCTCCTCATTCGCAACGGAATTTTCAGCGAGTGAGGAAAAAAAATTTAAATTCTTTGCTTGATCGATCATGTTTTTGCATAATGTATGGCGAAATTGGACGAGTATGTTTGACAAGCCGATTGTGTGGTGTACTTCGCTCTTTAACCATACAAGCAGTTGGTGAAACAAGACGAACTTTCCCTTTGAAAGCCCTACACACGCCATGAACGAAAGACACAAGATCACGTAAGAACAAGAGAGTGAAAAAAGTCGATTTTTTGAGCGGGTTCTACGCCATCTTGTTTCACTGGAAAACGAGCGAAAAGTAAACAAAGCAAAGAAAACAACGAAAACCAAAATGAGCCAAAATCATTGTCAGCCACTTTAAACGCACAATTTAGGTAAAATGATGCAACAAAATGCTTTAAAATGTGTTGTCATGTTGAATTAACTCTTCTTTACTTGAATAAAAGTGTAAAATAGTGGTGCTTGTGATGTAAACAAACGCTCAGCTGACGAACCTGCTTTCGCAAACTTTTTTCTCAAAACCAGTTACAAATACAACGTCGCGTTCTTACGTGATCTTGCATTTTTGGTTCATGTACACACGCATTGATTTATCGGCCAACTACTTGTCCAACCTACTTAACGAAATTCCCTACAAACGCACCAACCAGTTGGTCGATTTCATTTGAGTAAGAATTTTTGAGCTGTGAACAACACAACAGCACCAAGTTATGCTAGGAATGCTTCTCATTTTTAAGTATTTGCTATTGCTACCGCAACAGTTTTCACAAATTAAACCCTTTTCACCAAATTTCCTACACACGGCTTATATACCACCAACTTCTAGCGGTTGGCCTACTGGTTGGCCGATAAATCGATCCGTGTGCAGGGCCTTTTAGCCACTCCAAATCGGCTATTTATCAAACATTTAACAGTGAGCGTGCACTTCGTTAGGATAACGCGATACTATATTTTCCCCCCTTTATTTATAAGTACATAATCAACGTTTCTATTTTGTTTCTTTCTACTTTATTTTAATTCGAGATTAATTCTTGTATAATGGCTTTTTACAGTGTAATCAATAGTGAAGTTGGCTGCAGTCAGTGATCCCGCGCGTGCGGACAAACATAGCTGCCAAAAAGCCAGCAAACGAGGCTGTAAACAATTGTAATTGTGCAAAAAAACAGGCGAGAAAAGTGTACAGCGGCGAAGGGACGCAACAAATTCGTGAATAAAATTTTAAATGTATTTAGTGTGTGCCAAAGCGAACAACGTTGCAGCGCCATAGTGAGTGAGAAAAATCAATAAATTTGTAATTGCTGAAATTACAAAGAGCAGAGCAGCATCAAATAAAAAGTGTATTTAATTAAACCGAAAAACGAATAAACTTGTGTTTTATGCAATTATTTGTGTGAGAGCTAATGTGCAAACACAAATGGCCATAAAAAGGACGTAATTTTATTTTATGAATTCAGGTGAGTACAAAATTTATTTGGCTAGCGTGCATTTGCATCCATATAAAATTTTGTATAATATCGCCCCTTAAACGTTCATAAGTATATTTCAAGATTATAGTTTCGCATAAATGGCTTCAGCTTTCATAAGTTTTGCCAGCATTCGTTGCAAAATTTCCCCATTTTGTTTTAATAGTTTTGCAGAATTCTATTTGCGGTTTCCTTTAATTTTGTGCTTCGCTGGTTGCTTGTTGACTTGCTGGCGTTGGTTGTTGTTGTATCTTCCTGCTAAAATACATATTTACGGCCACACAACCATGCGTATATCTGCGCGTAGATGTCCCCTGCAATGCACTTGGGGTTCTGATTTTGTTTGGTTATTTGTTGTGTTTTCTGCAGTACCACAAATTTATTCCTTTGCTAGTTTCTCTTCTCTGGTTTCTCTTTGTATTCAATGTTTTTCTTCGTTTTTTCCTGTATTTGCGCAATACAAACTCCTTAATGGCTTTGGCTTGTTGTTGAGCTATTTTTATATGCTTGACTTGTTTTTGCTTCTTTTCTCCTGTCGGCCAACTTAGTGGTTGTTGCTGATTGTAGTTCTTCATGCATTTAGCGTTTGGGTGTCTATGCTGCTAAACTAAAAAACATTAGCTGTGTTTTCGTATTATCAAGCAAAAAATATCCAGTAACTTGCCAGTAACCAAATTTCGGAGAGTAAGTCAATATTTACTCCCAATGAGTGAAATATACAAGAAAGTACGAAAACGCAAAACCAGCAAGAAGTTGCTAGTTTTATGAACAGCTGATTTATTTGTTATTTTCCGATGCAATTTTCTTAGAGAACTAGTATTTTCCATCTTATTATATATTTAAATGGGTTTATTTTGTCAATTGCAAGTCTAAAAGCACCACAAACAATTATTTTGTTAATGTGAATTATATTAAACATCATGCCATCAGCTGTTTCTATTGTTATATGGACCAATTTTTATGTTATTTTGCCCATTTGTGTCGTTTACGAACGTTTCCCGGTCGCAACAACGTTTTTTTGGCAGCGACCCGTCCATACAAACCAAAACCATTTTTCCAGGTGAGTCCAAACTTTTGCAGGGCAGTGTACATACTACTTTTATATGTATGTATGTACATAAGTACATTAGACTGCATCACCAAAAATGTTGCGGTTTTTCCGCCAGGATTACAAAATTTATTATATTTAAAGACGTCCACCAAAATATTTCGGAAAAATTTTAAGATATAAGTGAGCTGGACCGATTTGAAAATACCTCCAAAAATGGAGTTTTTTATGAATAAAAATAGTTTCTTAAATAACTTTTTAAAAAAAGTCCCTTCAGATGACAAAAAGCTTAAAAAATCTGCATAAAAATATTTAAACATCTTTTCACCGTAATTGAAAGAATGAGATTTTTGATGCGGTTTTTTTAACTTTTTTCAAAGATGGATTTACGAAAAACTTGAATAACTGTGCCAAAACTATTCAGATTTAGACTTATGGGATCTCAGTAGAAAGGTATTTTCACACTGTTTTTATTTCTGTCCAAAAAAAGTCATTTGTGTACCAATTTTTTTTTTTTCAAACACCAAAACATCTTAATTCAACTTTGAATTCGGGGATGTATGCTGAAGTGATGGTCCTTGGCCGGAGTGACCGGGTCGATCTGGTGAACGTAGAACCGACCATCGTGAGGCTCGAACTGAACGTGTTCGTTGGCGGAGTCAAGATTCCGAC